TTTTCCTTTCCCTACGAACCTTGCCTTGCTTATTGAATGGCTCAGCGAGGTATTGTAGTCTACATCACAGTCTTCCAGTGCCTTAGGATGATGCTTTGCCCTTTCGAGCCCATGGCAGCTTGCGTGGACTCCCCATCCCATGGGTGGTCTGGTGCTTCTGGGCTCCAGCATCCCAGGGTGGTGCTGGAGCCTGCAGCTGAAGAGACTGGTGGAGCACTTTTGGGGTTCAGGACAGGAGAGTTTGGGGAGTGAGGATCTAGTCACTGGAGGATGTCTGTGTGGACATGCAGGTGCCCTAATCGGGGAGCTCAGTGCATTGGTGAAGCTGCTGGAATTGCTGGAAGTGGCTTTTCAGAGATGGGGGGGACTGCAGTGCCATCTTTCATGTCGCATGGATGCTGGCGTGCCTACACAGGGCACAGGCAGAGCTGGGGGGAGGCCAGAAGCTGAGGGGCAAAGGGTATGTGGAACCACTTGGGCTTGGATGAGCTGGTCCTGTGCCACACTCCTGACATAGACCCCTCCTTCTGACCTGAGGGGATCCTCCCATCCCTGGTTCCTCTTGTTCTGGTTGTCATAGGCTATTGGCCTCTGCCATGAGATGGACCTTGAGGTACATGGGCCACCCAGCTCTCCTCTTTCTCCCATGGCTGCTCACACTCACTCCAACCTCATGTACCCACCAGTTCATAGAATCATAGAATATCCTGAGTTGGAAGGGACCCATAAGGATCATCAAGTCCAACTCCTGGCTCCACACAGGACCAGCCGAATCACAGCATATGACTGAGAGTGTTATCCAGGCGCTTCCTGAACTCAGTCAGGCTCGGTGCTGTGACCACTTCCCCGGGGGAGCCTGTTCCAGTGCCCGACCACCCTCTCAGTGAAGAACCTTTTCCTGATATCCAGTTGTCATGCAAGAGTCAGTGATGGAACACACTTTGGTTGTGCATGGCAGGGGTTCCCATTGGTGTGATCTCCATGACCCCAAGGGCTGCTCAGCATCACCCCACAGGGTGCGGGACCCCACTGGCCCCTCTTCTCAGCAGCCCCAGCCCACGGAAGAGCAGGGTGGCATCACTGCTCTGAGGGCATGGATGCTTATCAGGGCAGGGCTACAGAAGGCACATGTTTTCTCCAAGCAAGTACAGCCTTCAGGAGAGGCATGATGTGTCTGTGCTCCCCAAAAAGTGCTCTGCCCAGCTTGATGGGGCAGGAGGCCCCAGGGTGTTCTTTGGCACCTGATTTCTCCTCCCATGAAGCATGGCACCTGAAATTCTTTGAGGACTTTTGTGTTGGTTGTTGAAGTTCTCCATTTATTCTCCAGCTGGCTCTTCCGTCTTGTTTCAGCTCTGCCACCCAGGACTGCTGATGAGGAGGGATGGCTCCCAGCTGGTGCCCCAGCACACACGGGTGTCCTGCTGGGGCAGATCAGAGACACCAGGGCAGGACCACCACATACCCCATGGGGTGCTGCTGAGGAGAGGAGCCCTCCCTTTTGGCTGGGGGATGTCCAAAATCCTGGCCAAAGGACTGGAGCAGGCCACTCTGCACCTTCACTAAGGCTGCTGCCTGGAAGATGTTTTCCTGACCCCCTGCTTGTGTCACCGCCAAGTCCAAAGCAAGACTTCATCTTTCTTCTTCCTCTTCCTCTGCCTGGCACAGCCAGCTGGAAACCCCCACACGCGGGTTCAGCTGTCCCTGGGACACTGGGGCTTGGTGCCGAGCACGGTCGTGGAGGCACCATGGGGTTGCTTGGAGATGCTGCTTGTCCCACTCTGCATCTCGGGGCAGGGCTGGGCACAGATGCCACCGCAGGCACAGTTTGGGGGAGGGCTGCAAAACCAGGGGCTGCTGTGCCACCCCCACAGGGATGCTGCTGAGGCAGCTGTCCATGCCCCACTTGCCACATGAGCAGCTCGCTGGAGAAAAGCCCTTTGCAGGGAAGGCTGGCTACACCACATCCAGCCCGTGTGCAACGCTGCGCGACCCTGCACCGCGGTCACACTTCTGTCCGCATTTAACCGAAGCCAGGTACCAAGCACCTGGGGAGACAACCCCGGCCAGGGACCCCAGCCTGCCCAGCCGTGCCTGATGCCTGCTGCTGTGGGTTTTTTGGGAGAATCAATGCTGCCCAGGGAATTTAGACACAGAGCTGCTCCCAGATACATATTTAAATCCCCACACACATCTACGTGCCGCCTTATCTTCTTTTTCTGTTTGCTTCATAATTTAACTGTATGACTGCACAGGGCAGGCCCAGGATGCTGGCGGGATCCTTTGCGAGTCACCCCGTGCAGATTTGGGGGTGGGCTCTGCTGTGCTGCTGGGGGTGCCCCGAGCCTGGCTGCTGAGACATCTGGCATGTAAATACCACTTCAAGGGTGCCCATGTGCCCCTGCAACGTGGTGGTATCTGTGAAATGTGTAAAAAGAAAAGCCAACGAATGTTATGAACCATAGTGTAACATATATAAGATATGTATGTTTGGGGTGTGTTATTATTATTTTATTTTTATTTTTAATAACATGAGTCTAATAAGTACCAGCTGCCTAATTCTGCGTCTTCTTTGCGTGCACACACAGTTTGCGTGTGGGCTGGGAAGCCGGGGGGCTTTGCCGAGGGGTTTCTCTGTCCCATCACCCCCAGCTCTGTGAGTCGGGGCTGTGCTGACCCAAAGGGTTTTACGAGCTCTGCAGGAACTTCCCCCCCCAGCTTTGTATGTGAACATGAGTGGGTTCAGGGCGTGCCGTGGGGCTGGCTCTGAGCATCCCCTGGTGCACCAAGGACCGATGGCTTATGGCCTGTCGTGGTCCATCTGTCTGGGCACAATGGAGATGGTGGACCTCAGAGAGCTCTTCCACCTCACCAAGACTGGGTCACCAGCCTCCAAACAGCTTCCTTGTACTCAATGGGCTCATCAGCCAAGTGGGGGGCTGTCCCCAAGCCCCCACCCACCTCCACTTCTCTGGCAGCTGAAGCATCTGGAGATACCCAAACCCTGCAGGGCTTCACAGCCACAGAGGTTAAATAGCTGGAAAAAATCTTCCACCTTCACATCACGACTCTCCAAGAGCTGTAACTGAAAAAACCAGAAACATTAATGATATTACTTGCTGTTTATTTTATTTAGGTATTGTTTTTATATACTCATTAATGGCTTATGTAATTATTTCATTGCTGTTCATAACACTAATATTTAAACAAAGCCACAGTTAAAAGAAAGAGTAATCAAGCCAAATTTCCAGTAGGCTTAACTGCTTTCAAAGCTAATTTAAGTGGGGAAAAAAAGGGATAATTAGCAGTCAAGTAAGGAGTTGCGTTCCCACCCATGTTGATGCAACAGGAGGCTGGTTGGCGCAGGCTCCGGCAGGCTGGAGTTGTGCTGGGGCACTTCCACTTCTGCCCGCACCCACCCAGCCCCAGCCACCCCCTTGGTGGTGGGAAGTGCTTGTCACCACGGGGTGCTGCCAGAGCCCGTGGGTGATGCAGGGCAGGGGTCTTGGGTGGCAGCAGGCGATGTTGCACAGTCCTGGTGGCCACAGCCAGCAGCCGTAGGCTTTGCAAGGGCAAGAGATGTTGCAGCGTAAATTCACCTTGCCATAATGAAGGTTTTCCAAAACAGCTCTTCAAGGAAAAAAAAAATACTAATTCAGGAAAAGATCTGAAAAGACCTCG